CCTGCTCAGGCTGCTCCTGCTGCTCAGGCTGCTCCTGCTCAGGCTGCTCCTGCTCAGGCTGCTCCTGCTGCTCAGGCTGCTCCTGCTCAGGCTGCTCCTCCTCAGGCTGCTCCTGCTCAGGCTGCTCCTCCTCAGGCTGCTCCTGCTCAGGCTGCTCCTCCTCAGGCTGCTCCTCCTGCAGGCTGCTCCTGCAGGCTGCTCCTGCAGGCTGCTCCTGCTCAGGCTGCTCCTCCTCAGGCTGCTCCTGCAGGCTGCTCCTGCAGCAGCAGCGCTCACAGAGGCCCGTCTGGTTAAAGGAGCAGTAATCAGTGATCTAATCCTCGTAGGCATCAATCAAACCTGCTGTTCTGTAGGACGGCCTCCCTGCCATCACCCTAATGTTTAGCTGCAGGCAGGAAGGTTCTCCAGGAGAGGAGCCAGTGGGTCCATGGTGTTGATCCACCTGATGGAGTCAGGCTGAAGCTGTGATCCTGGGAAACATGGCCGCCGTCCCAGGATCAGCTGCTGCCTCCGTCCATGGCCAGTCCATCCTGCTCAGGAGCTGACCCCCCCCCCATGTCTGGCTCAGTTCATGGTGTCCATGGTCACACCTGCTCTTTTGGTGGCTTTTATTGAGCGCAGAGGAGGTGCTTGTATCCATGGCAACGCTGTGTGGCGCTACGACTACTTCCTGTTAGTCGTAGAGGCACCATGAACTCCACGGACTGTCCAGTTAACTCTTTAAATGTGATCCGTTCAGGATCCAGTGGAAACCTGAAGAATGTTGACCTGGACCACATTCAGTCTGATGGGCGTCTCTGGATGAAGGCTTGTTTCTAGCTGGCAGGTGTGGAACGTTACCTGGAGGTCAGAGCAGCAGCCGTTCATCAGAACTTCTCCTCAAAGCTTTGAAGCTGGGATGTGGGTCAGTTTGATGGAGAGATGCACCGACAGCGCGGTTCCAGTTGGTCCAGCAGGTTCTGCTCACCCTGAACACAGAAACACCAACACCGTTTTTAGGATGTGATCCAATAGAACCCGGCCCCCCTAAACGGACTGAGGTAGGAGGACCGGGCTGGGACCGGAGCGATGGGTGCATCTCTGCCTTCATGGAGCCGATCAGACAGGAAGATGATCCTGAAGGTTCTGCTGGGAGGGAGGTGGTGTGAGATGTTTGTTGGTGTGGAGGTTCTGGGATGGCTGGGTTCTGCAGGGTTCTGAAGTACTGACCTGTGTGGCTGTCTCATCAGGATTCCAACAGGAAAGCTGTGAAAAGGCTGGGGCTGCGGGTAAGATGGTCTGTTCTTCAGGAGACGGTGGAGAGGTTCCACCTGGAGGTCCAGAGTGACCCGGTTCCCTCCTAATTAGAACCTTATTGATCAGATGGAAAGCAGCTTTGATGTTCTGTAGCATTTAGAAATGAAAGACTGAGTAACTTGGACTAGTCTGCTAGTCGACGGGACGTAAAATTTGTTGTCTCTCTTTTCAGCGCAAAGACTGGAGCGACTGAGGAAGGAGCGTCAGAACCAGATCAAATGTAAAAATGTCCAGTGGAAGGAAAGGACGAGCTCCCACTCTGGTACGCCTCCTGCTCCTCTCTGCCGCCTGATTCAGCCGTTTCTAAAATCAAATGTTTTCGGTCAAAGAGGACCTTCCATTTAGGAATTATTACATCTTATTTATAAACTAACTCTTTATTTTCTGTCAGTGTGACGAAGAAACCAGCGGAGTTTATGTTCCTCTGCCATCAGGCCGCCGCGCACCTGCTGCTTAAGGGCTGAACCGTCCACTGGCCCCACCCACTACAGTGTTTGGGACGGCCCCTAATGTGGCGGATCCTCAGCGTGAACAAAAGAGCACGTTAAAGAAACAATCCATTGGACTTT